TACTGTGTCAACATTACTGCCTGGTACTGAGTGATGTGGTTACTTTTTAAGGATGCCTGTCTTTGAATACAGGACTCTGTACCTGTTTGGGATCTGCACTGGCATGGATACACAGGAGACCTGTGTCCTCGTAACTGTGGTGGTAAGAGGTTGCATTGTACATCCAGTGGTGCCTGTGGAAATACAAACAGCATTTTCAAATTTAAAACCCAAAATTTACATGTAAAAATTAAACAAACACAGACAGTGACTGCCCTCCCAGTGCACTTTCAGGATTCTCAGCACTGCCAATGAGACTTTCACCCTCTCAAAATGCCAACTGACAAACCAGTCCCATGCTTCGAGCAGAATAACCTGACGATGTTTGCTTCCATTTTTTCCATATGAACCTGCTGGAGGACTGTTTCTGCCACCCCTTAAAAGGCAAACCAACCTGTTGAGCACATTGAGGTATAGTCGGGTGAACATGCCCTTGCCAGGCCCTCCAGCTGAGAAAGAGCCACCACCTCCCATCATCATGTTTAGCACCGCAAAGGGAATGAAATCGTCCTCCTGAATTGCAACAAGAAATTCAGTCAGATCATGGCAGAGCTCTCAAGGGTCTGGGGTCAGTAAAGGGGAGGGAAAGAAAGAAATATGGCACAAGAAGAGCGGGAAGGTCAGTGCCTGCATCAAACTGTCAGTGGAAAAGCTGCTTGTCTGAGAATGCAGCAGCAAGAGTGCCAATGTTTCTGTAATGAGTCACTGTTCTGGGATTCTTCAAGTACAGGACTCCCAAAACAAGGGACTTTAGGTTAATACTTACTAAAAATGAGCAGCTTTCTAACCCAATCATGATGTGGGTGAGCTCTGGGATGGGAGTAGGGCCCAGACTCACATCTGACATGTCTTTTTCAACCTGTGGGAAGAGCAGACAGGTTATTAAGACTGATTTTCACTGCTGTTGCATCCAGCTTGATACATTCCTAATAATTAACCTGTCACCCAATTACCAGCTGTCACAGCCACTTTTGGCTCGTACTCATGAACAGTATGTAACTTTAGAAAAGCGAAAACCAGCTCAACTCCAAATCTGCCCTTCCAACTGACAGCAGAGGGGCACAACACCACCTGCACCCCTTCACCCCTTACCTTGACGATGCCTCCCGTGTACTGAGCCACGGACCTGTCCACGCCCCTGCTCTGCCCAGTGCCCCACACGGGCTCCACTCCCAGCAGGTATTTCCTGGCACACTCCACCAGCTGCTCGTGCTCGATGCCCACCCCAGCCAGCACCATCCTGTCAGGGGTGTAGTAGCTGCGCAGGTACGAGTGCAGCACGTCCCGATCGATTTTGTCCGTGTTCTCCACGGGGCAGAACCTGTTCAGTCCAACTGTGTTGTCTCTGAAGGCTGCCTGAAAGGGAACAGACACATTCAAGTAACAAATATCACCTCACCCCCCTAAAGCCCTCATCTAAACCTCCCCTTTCTGTTTTGGAATTAAGCCGACCTGTTTGAGACACGTAAAAGAGGAAAGGCTGAGCATTATTTCATTAATCAACATACTGTCACCCACATCAACAAAGGTTAAGTTGCAGATAGTTTTTTTTTAGTTTAGGTTAGAATCTTTCACAAGTGTAGAATGCTGGATTTCAGAGTGGAGGGACAGCAAAATTCTCCCATCACTGAAATCGAATCGAGTAACAAAATAACCTGGTTTCAGAATAACGTAAAATAAACCCTGGAGCTGACAGAAAAATGAGAAGAATGCAGGGGACTGCATGCAAGGTGGAATTTTCAGTGTGTTACCGCATGGATCATCTCAGTGAGCAGAGGCTCTGGGTCAGGCCTCATGTTCAAGTCCTCCAGCTCAAACCGTATGGCCGTGCGGGTCATCTCGATCTCCTCATCTGGAACGGGACAGAGAGCAAGAGATGACAACCCCCAACTGCTGCAAGGGAAGTTCTTTATGAGCACAATGTAGTGGAGAATTCTAAGAGCAAGCCACATCTTGGAGGTTTTTTTTAGAGGCAGAGAATTGTGTTCCCAGACCTGATAACCTGGGCTGCAGCGCTACGTCGGCCAGCAGGTTGACCACGGTGTCCAGGCCTCTGGCATCAGCAGACACAGCGTACATGATGGTGTCCCTGCAACACAGACAGACAGTTCTGCACTGAGAACTCACTTCTGGGATCATTCAGTGTCATTTCAGTATCAGGAAATTACAGGTAAAGCTGCTTCGCTTGTTAAATGCTTTCAAGAGGAAATAGAACTGACTTTAAAAACCTGTTCAGGTTCAGTTTTGTAGCTTCCCAGCAGCCACCACAAATGGATTTCTGCTGCTTGGAAACAAAAAGTGGCTTTTTACTGCCCCACACCAGAAAAAGGAACTCAAAGTGTTTGTCAGTGTTATAAGAAGAGCAGGAGAAGGAGATCCCACCTCGATGCCTGGCAGTCACAAATGCCTCCATGCTTCTCCAAGGTGAGGAGAATTTCATCCTTGCTGCCAAACTGAGCTGTGGACTAAGAAAGAAAATACCAGTGTTATTAATTATTAAAGCAATAACTTTTTATAACCCTTCAGTGTAGCCCAGAACAACCATCTTCTACATTCTTTTAGTCAAGTGGTTTGATCAATACTCACTGACCCTGGAGATAAAAGCACAGCAGGCTTTCAAAATGTAATAATGGGCACAATAATTAAGTGGGAATTAAGAGGGATGATTAAAGGGAAGGAGCACCTCTCCTATAAGGAAAGGCTGAGAGAGTTGTTCAGCCTGTAGAAGAGAAGATTTGGGGTGACCTAATTTTGGCCTTTCAGTACCTGATGGAAGCATACAAGAAAAATGGAGAGAGACTTGTGACAAGAGTCTGGAATGACAGGACAAGGGAGAATGGCTTCAAACTGAAAGAAGGCAGGAAGGAATTGTTCCCTACGAGGGTGGTGAGGCCCTGGCACAGGTTGCCCAGAGAAGCTGTGGCTGCCCCATCCCTGGTAGTGTCCAAGGCCAGGTTGGACGGGGCTTGGAGCAACCTGGGCTAGTGGAAGGTGTCTGGGATGGTCTTTAAGGTCTTGTCCAACCCAAATAATTCTGTGGTTCTATCATTCTAGGAATACTGTCAGCATTATTTAAACAGTTCAAGTGCACAGAGCCCTGTGGGTCAGGCCCTGCCCTTGGCTGCTCCCCCTCCCTTCCCAGTGCAGATTTCAGGTGCTCAGGATCCCATGCTGGGCAGGGCAGTACTCACAGAGAAGGCCAGCTTTTCCAAGAAGTGGGAGATACCACTGAGATATTTTGCTTCGTGTCTTGATCCCGAATTCACAAGAACTGGCGTTAAGAAGAGAATAAATCAGTGTAACTTTTACACCTCCGGTCCTTACACAGACACCCGGATCCGGGGGAGCCGTGGTGTCACCACCTTTGGCCCCTCCGGGTACTCACTGCCCACGGTGCAGAACTGCCCGAACTTGTTCTGGGAGGCGACGCG